CCCCAAAACCCCAAAACCCCAAAACCCCTCTAAAATTCCCCGAAATTGAACTACTAAACACAATCCCTGCCTTAAACTCTAAGGCTCAGCGGGGAGGGAGTACCCAGCTTGGGAGATTAAGGCAGCGAGGTTTGCCCTGCACAGAGGGCAGGTCTTTTGGATCCCACACCATTTTTTGAAGCAGGAGTGGTGGAAGATGTGGGATTGGTGGCATGAAAGGGGGATTATGGACTGGTGGGGTTTGAAGGTGTCCAGACAGATACCTCAGGATTTTGGGAAATCATTGTTTTTCTGATGAACCTTCGTTTCCCATTTTTGTATCAACGAATCTATATTTTTATCCTCTTCGAATTTTTGCAGAACCTCAAAATTTTGGATATTGAGCTCTTCATCTCCGGTACGGGCTCTTAACCTAGCAAGTTCTCTTTGAAGAGCAGCTTCGTAACGCTGAATATCTTCATCACTAATAATATTTTTTTGCTCTTCATTATCTCCATAAACTCTCTGATTTTCTTGGTCAGCCTTGACCTGCTTCAAGATGTCAATCCTAATTCTTTGGATTCTCAATTTAGTCTTGTCACTCCACTCCTCTTCGTCTGAATCATCATCAGTCTTTTTGCACATAAGTCTTCATGGTGCTCAGCATGTGTTTCTTAGCGCATTTTCACTTTGTTTTCCAAAGGCCGAAGCCATCACCAGGTGGGAAAATATCATAGACCCGAAGAAAGCAATCTGTACTGGATTATAGAACCCTATCAGGAACCCTAGTCCCAGCATTGCTAGGACTAGAACTACTGAGAGGACTCTAAGTAGCCCCAAAAAGCAATTCGTGCTGGTAGCTATAGGCAGTGCAATTTTCCGGATTCACTCATTTTTAGGCCAAATCGAGAAGCAACACATGCATTTTAAGAATCGTCTTTTCATTCTCCCTTTGCAACATCACAAGTCGATATCTCTTCTGTCAAGTCTTCCGCTTTCAAAATGACCGATAAATAGAAGATGGAAATAGATGGTCACTAGCAGATAAGTAACATAAGCCAAACTGAGGAGATTACTTACTGACCCTGCGATTCATGTAGCCAAGACTGACAGATAGCCAAGTACAAGTCAGAGATAGATGATTATAATGAAATAAGCTTTATCATAATGCTCTGCCATTTAAGATAATGAAGGATTTTAAATATTATGTGAGGAATTTGGGGTTTTGGGGTTTTGGGGTTTTGGGGTTTTGGGGTTTTGGGGTTTTGGGG